CCTGCTTTGACGTGCTATGTGACGGCTAAACTTCCTCCAGAAATGCCCGCCACTGCCGCGTCCACCACCACCACCACCTCCATTACCACCACTACCAAGGACAAGCAGCAGCAGTTTGGAGCCGAGCCTGCGTGCGCTATCTCCGGGTATACTCGCTCCTGACACCCGCTCCATGACTTCACTTCACCGCGGCTTCCTCCACGCGTGTCCCCGGCTCCCGAGCACCTTTTCTGGGCTTTAGGTAGAGGAAGGAGCCGCGACAATGGCCAACGACTGCAGCGTGAAGGTGGCGCTGAGGTAAGCATGTGTGAATTTAAGTGAGAAATGACTGAAAATGTATATTATTGCACTTTTATTCAGGCGAAATTTGAATGCAAAATAATAATAATAATAATCCAGCAAATAATGATGAATACTAAAAACATTGCTGTTAATGTAATACACATGCTTATAAGTGTGCAATTTCAATACTTTTTTACGCTTCGTGAAATACTTGAACCATAACCAACACATATATTGACACAAATCTTATAAAATGTCACCATATTTTTGAAATCTTGTTGTTGAATTGACTTAAACATAGCAATACGTAGATTTGTGAGTAAGAATCTCTCACTATTTGCTGTTTATTGCTAGTTTCGTGGTATAATGTTATTATTATAGATCCATGGGTATAATATTTTGAATCTTTGTGTCACCGCTAATAATGTCCCCTCATGATCCATTGCTCTGCACGTTTTGCGCTGACTAGACGAAACACCTTGTGATAGTAATTGCAAATGGGCGGTTCTGGTGTTCTGGCTGTTGATAAGACCACGCTGCTGTTACATATGCACTTGACAAGTTCACCCAAAACAAGTAATAACAGATGGGTCCATGTATACAGCGAAATAAATGCAATTTCCTTAATCTTCTGGGCCCGTTTGGGTGTTTGGAAACAGTTCCGTTGGCTTGTGCTGAGTTGCATCACAAAGAGGGGATGCTTTCTTCTTTATTGCCTTTGTCATTGGCACCTTTACGCACGCACGCTGCTGGAGCTGAGCCGGTGGAGGGAATGCGTTGAGATAATTGAAGTATTGTTTTAAATGGGCTCTTGTATCTTGTAGCTAAGGGGGCTGTAGTGGAGGCTTAAATGAAAAAGGCGTGACAGCAGGGAGGTTTGTGCATTGTGCTTTGTGGAGGTCCGAGTGACTGGGCTTTTTTATAACCCAAAAGTGTGATATTTTCATGATTTTAGAATTGAGATGGTTAATTATGTTCTTCTACATGTATAATAAACCGCCTGATGTGAAATATATGTTGTCCTCTGGGAAAGTTATTATGAATCTTTAAATCTGGGGTACCAATTCACAAATGTAACTAATGCAATACATGTAACTAGTTCTTATAACTGTAAAACTGTGAGGTTCTGTCACAGGTTTTCATATTCAAGTTTTTCTGTTCTCTGTCACGTCTTAAGACCAGCTTTTTCCTCACTTTGCTAGTCAGCTCTCAGACCAAGCCCAAAGCATCAAATTGTGACTCACAGGGATCTTTCTTGCAAGTATGTAAAAGATATGTTTTCTAATAAGTTGTGGTCTAATTTGTTTCAAACTTTAACAAACATGCGTGCCCCGGCTTTAAATCATCACTTTGTAACTCATTCATTCACTTGATGAGGTAAAACACAGCACTTCCAAGGTCCCAGCTAACACTAAGACGGAGCGGTTAGACAGAAGGGGCGGGGGACTTGTTTGTGACAGTTTTTTGCATTAAATAGTCGTCAGTTTTGTATTAATATTGGTTGTTGGAATTTGAAAGAAGAATTTGACAAGTCCAAAAAGTGCACTAAAAGAATATATGAAGTAACTGAAAATATGAACACTTAACTTCTGAATACCTAGTGAGTAATTACTTGGGCGTAGTCATGCACATATTTTTGACATAAATGACTGTATGGGTGATGCGTTGGGAAACATCTCAACCTACTCTACTCGGCTCTACTCTAACTGGTTGTGTTTTTCCATAATACTTTAGTAACTGGTACCTAGTAACATGGGGACAGATTTGTGTGTGTGTGTGTGAGCTCATTAGGAGTGTTTGTATGGAGAGAACGTGGTAGTTTTATTATAACTTGTATGGTAAAGTAAATTGTTAGTTCTGTCTGAAAATGTTGGTCATGTATCCATCTACTTTTGTTTTACTGTTTTACAACAACCTGCTCAGGGACGACAGCTGTAAATTGCCACTCCTGGTACAACCTGGTACAATGCATCTCTCCTTTTGGCTCATGTTTATTGTACATTGTCTTGTAAAAATAAAAATCATACCCTTCCTTCCCACAATAAACCAGTATCCAGGTATGTTCCTTGGTAACCATGGATTTCAGGAGCCACTAAAAAAGTACAGTCTTGTACCAATTGAATAGGGACAGTGGAAACACTCCCAATCGGGGTAGAGTAGAGCCAACTAGTCAACTGGAACGAGAATTGACTGATTTTTGCAAAATTCGGTCCATGAAATTGAGACAGAAGGAATATTTTAATTTAGTTAAAACATTCTACGTTTCCAAGATTTTTTTTATCCAAGCAATATGGGAAAAGGTTGGCATATTGTTTGAACCTGTGCAAGAAAGGAACGTGTCAAAATAAAAGGGTCAAAACAAACTTCTGACTTACAAAATAAGTCTTTTAATGTCACAGTAGTGCACTCAGGACCAGAGGGAATCACATTATGATGGACCACGGCGAGTTTATCATCTGTACGGAGAAATAAAAACATTTCCAAATGGATTTGACAAGGCAGTGGTGTCCAAACTCTAGTTCACCAGACAAAACAATTCTGACAGGATTCAGGCTGTTCGGCGCTTTTTATCAGGTTTGACATGTCCATAATGATTTGACGGAGTGCAATGTGGGCTGAATGTAAAAAATCATAATTGGCTACATAAGAATCTTATAAAAAAATTTCTGCCATGAGCACACTTAGTCAAACAAAGTCAATGACAGAGTTGGTTCTGAGCTTTACAGGGAGGTTGAGCATGTCTGTATTGATGAAGATGAGATGAAGTTGGCTGGATGACACAATGTATGTTATGATTGCAATAGCTAGCTAATCTTGGGCTAGCAAAGCAGAAGACCACATAAAAAGTACACACAGCAGGCCGCAATTGGTCCCCGGGCCTTAGTTTGGGCCTGCCAGACACTGACGGATAAGAGCGTCACTCTCGTCACTATGCAAAGTATTGTCCCTTGTGTGACAATACGAGCCACATGTAAGCAACGGGCTAGTTTGCGTTTATTTTGTTCTATATTAAAGCAAAAAGATAAGGTCGCAAGGCGGGTTAAATGCCGAGTCGTTTTGAAACTCCAGCTCGTGACGCTCAGTGTGTAGGAAAGAGGTGACCCGGGGTTTGTGAGCAGAATGTAACCGGCACAGTAGAGAAGTTTAGTTAATATCCCCTTGACTTCTATATACATAAGTCTGTCTGTTGACCCTAGCTGCAAACGCCTGCCTCTTCATTCTCTCTGTAACTAACAGTGAAACGCAGCTTTATCAAGGAGCCATTTTGAGGTCAATTTGTGGTGCATTGATTGGCCCTGGTGGGGGGTACCGGACGGGCGGCTGGGCGAGGGGGGGTTTGTATGAAGCCAGACAGCAGCCTTTTTGGGCCACAGCTGATGTCCTCTTCCCCCGGGGGACGGCGCGTGTGAGTGGCTCTTTGTGTTCAGATGTGGACGAGAGGACACAGCTGTAGGGCGCAAACGCATTTATTGATTTAAGAGAAAAGGAGTTTGCTGAATGATGAGTGACGTTGCAGACACCAGACTCTACTTCATAGGTACAAAGGGGCATTGAATAAAGTGGAACCGTGCTCCTGAAATGAGCTATTTCAAAAAGACCTGCCTCGCTTTGGCTCATTAGCTCATAGACAAAAGAGATGTTCAGTCCTTCAGAGCTGTCACGGTAATCTTCTGGTTCCTTGGTTTAGTCCTGGTTTCTGTCGTCTTTAGTTTGAGCCTGGAATACACTGCCGTTGTGTGTTTTTTAAAGGCTAGGAGTGTCTCTCTTTATCTTTATAATCAATTAAATAGTTCATGGTCTGCTGACTAATCATTGTAGCTAAATTACAAGGATTTCTGCTGCAGAAACCAGAAGACGTTAAGCCAATTACCTGAAGATTACTTTTGGTATTTACTGAAATTAAAGCCAGACTCATCCCTCCACTGAGTTGTTCAGCTACATTACTACAAGAGTGTAAGAGCTTTTGTAACGCCTCCAAGGGATTTGGGATTGGGTTGGGGGTTAGATGCGTGCAGTCCTTGACCTTATCACAATACATTTGACAATACATCTTTCTCATGCACCTCTCCCCGTCTCTTCTGCCTGTACATGTGTGTGGTCCATGAAACCCTGGTGCTCTGATGAAGCCTGCAGACACAACACTTCCTGATTCAGCCCCTCCTTTTATTTTGCTGTGTTTCTGCTGAGAAAGTCTGCGTCAGATAAGAGCAAGCGGCCTGTAAGCGGTTCCATGTTCCATTGCCCTTGGGCTCTTGTTTTTGACCCCGTTTTCTTTCCTGTCTACCCGCATATCCCCCCTCTTCCTCCAGTCTCGCTGCTTTAGTGGCGTCTATAGCATTTCCTCATTCAAACGTCCTGACCTTACTCTTCACACCGGGCTGAGATGTGAAAGAACGCGGTAAAACTGAGTGGATTTCCTCTGGGTGCTCCAGCCACTGAAGAATATCAACATCAACTTCCATATACAGTACAGACAACACTGGAGAGAAGTCCAAAATGGATTTGCTGTTAAGTTTTGATGTTTTTGATGGTATGCTGTTGCCCTGGATGAGCAGGAGGGAGTGTGCGTGGATGGGGTAGTCCTTGCCCAGACGGCTGCCCATGTAACCTGGCAACGGATAAAGTGGAAGAAAATGAATGAATAGATGGATGCTGTTGCGTTATTTGTGGTAATTTTAGCTCTTACTTTGGCATTACAATAAATAAATAAAAATTACACAGTAGTGAAATGCTGTGTTTGAACTGTTTGATTTTCTGATCTGTGTTGGCAAATCAACAGCTTTGTAAAGTCCTCCAAGACGACTGCTGTTGTGATTGACGGCTATACAAAAATAAATAGAATTGAATGAAATATAAATGCCTCCATCTAGTTATAGAAATGGGAAATGACGTAGTTATTTTTGTAAATGGCGCAAATGGTGCGGTGTAATTGAGCAAACAGTGTAAAGAGTTAAAGGACGTTATAAAGACATTTCCAAAGATAATTTCCAGGCAATACTTGTTCTTTTTTTCCC